CCCCAAAACCCCAAAACCCCAAAACCCCAAAACCCCATATTTGCCAAAAAATTGAAAATTAAACCATTATAATTCAATAAGTTTAACAATGATGAATACCTCAAATGGAAATTATTCAGGCTTGAGTTCCTCTAATGATGCAAAGAATTTAATTTTTAAGAACTTTATGGAGTTTGAAGGTAATAAGAGCTTGCAGGATGATAAATTTCAGGATATGATACCACAATTCCCAATTCCAGTAGGGATTTTACCAAAACCCGACTTTCCGCATGGTTTTACTCCAGACATGAATGGTTAGTCCTTTTCTCTTCAAATTTAAATAAAAATAGCTTGAAATATTATTAAGAGATAGAGATTGATAAGACATTTTTATGACTAAATCGAGCTTAACTTTTCTTTAGGTCCTCTATTGTTAGGAGGGTTTCCTCAGCCTACACAAGAATTTAACACATGTTTCCATCCTCCAAATTTCAAGATGAGTGAAGAACTAGCAGGAGATATTGAAAATCCTTATTACTGTCATACTGAAGGTTCAGAGCTAGTGCTACCAGATCAAGATATAAAGTTTAACGAGTATATTCTTCATGTGAGAGCTCAAAAACTATTGCTTTACAAAAACCATTTGTTTAATGTGATGCAGCCTAAAAAGACACAAATTGATATTAATATTGACAATTTCCCAGAGGGTATCCACTATTCGCACATATTGGACTTCTTCAAGTTCAATGGGCTACATATCGAGCCTAAGCAGGTCTACATAAAAGTACGAGGACTTAAGAAGGACAAATGCACCATCAACTGTTATAATAACTATGAGCTAGCTTGGAAGATGGTTAGTCTCTATGGTACAAAATTCAGTGGGAGGTGACTAAAACTTGAACTTCCGGATTACGAAAGAGGTCATAAACCTCGTAGAAACACTTTTGATGAATTCTGTAAAGAATTCGACTCTAAGACTTCCTTAAAACCTATGGGACCAAAGCCTGTGGAGGAAGTCCCAAGGAAAAGTTCCATCAATGTAGGTTTATCCTTTAAAATTTTAGAAAGTTAATAAAGAGAAGGAAGAAGCTAAGGAAAAGCTTGAAACTGAGGATAAAGCATGGGGTACAGAGCTAAGCCTTGGGAATATCATTGGGTGACAAGTTAAAGATGATGGCTTTCAGGAAGTCAAACCAAAAGTAAAAGTAAAACCTAAGAAGGCCTCCAAGAATCATCATAAGAAAGCAGAAGAGGATGATCCGAGGAGAGGTAGAGGAAGAGGCTATAGACATAGAAATGGAAGAGGCCATGGGTTCGGACGAGGCAGAGGAAGAGGAGGAAGATACAGAGGAGGAACCAGAGGATTCAGACATAGCAATACTAGTCATCATCCCAGAGAAGAAGATTTCTAAACTATTATTCTCTCAAACATTTCAACAATTAAGGTAAAAATAGGGGTTTTGGGGTTTTGGGGTTTTGGGGTTTTGGGG